CTTTTGTTTAGCTGCAGAATGTCTGCAAAAAAAGCCTTATTTTATTCCAGATTTGGCAGATTCTAATCTCTATCTTCAGTGGAGAAAACAACTCCTATTATAATAATATTTGTGTTTTCAAGTATTAAGGTGCCTTTTAAGAATGCACCTCACACAAATTAAATTTACCTAAAATCTAACCTAACTTTTAGCATTGCGTTGTGATTTATAAGAACCGGATTAGCCTTGTGTTGAACTGGGGATGATCATGAATAATAATTAAATAAAACATACAGTTGTTATCCAATGTATATATCTTAAATTTTATTAAGGTTTTTTAAGCAAAAAAGTAAATAAAAGTTATCAAACAAAGTGTACCAAGAATAAGTTAAGAATAAAAATGTCCTCCTGGGATTTATTGAATAATTAAGTGAATTTGCTACACAACAGTACAAGTAATACCATAATTAATTTACCTCTTGGCACAGCCAACATACATTACGCGGATAGACTGGAATTTTCTCGAAACATACCTGGAAAACCCGGAAAAGTCAGGGAATTTCATTCTCCTGTTTGAGTGGCAACCCTGTTATTTCCTATCTTGTTCATTTGCGGTTTTGCAGCTGAAGATGGTGGTTCGGTAAAACCATCAAAACTGGTCCTGTGAAAATTTTGTAAATCTAACGCAAATTTTTGTTGTTTGACTTCTGAATTAGTATTTTAAAAATTAGCTCTAAAAATTTTTGCCCCTAAATGTTAATTGAATTTGGTATTAAACATAAATGAGGTTCAATCCAAATAAAATTCACAGACATTTTTAAAATTTTTAGTTTTTAGCAATTTTTATAAATTTTTCAAAATATATTTTGAATTGTAACCTATAAAAGTTACACCATTACCATAAAGTAGATGTATTTCTATGGATACCTGCAAAAAGTTAGTTTTTTATTCAAAGTTTCCCAAGATATACATGAATTTATATATTGGCAGATTTTGAAATTAGGTTTATTTGTTATAGCAATAATAATGCCAAATGCACTTTGTTAAAATTATTTGAAAGAATGAACTATGTACTTCCCCTCCCCCTTCCCCCCCCTCCATGCACAATGAAAGAGAAATAGGTCACCATAAACTGCATGTTAAGGAATATTCTTTGATATCGCCAAGAGATGGCGTTAGGAGTCCATCTATTGGCTTACTTAACCTTTCCCCTTCTGAACACGTGACTTGAAAAAATATTCTTCTTCTTGAAGGTAGAATTTCGATGCACTAACGCAATTGAATTCGATTTAGATTTTAGCTGGAACTATTCAGTTCTTGCCTTTTGAGCATTAAATATTCGATTCAGGCATTTTAGCCTACATTGTATATATGTAAATATTAAGTTTAATTAAAATTTATGGAAAACCCTCCAGGCCATGCTTCTCGTTTTTGGATTATGAGTGATTCGACTTTGATCTAGAACTTTCGTTTCCCAAGATATACATGAATTTATATATTAGCAGATTTTGAAATTAGGTTTATTTGTTATAGCAATAATAATGCCAAATGCACTTTGTTAAAATTATTTGAAAGAATGAACTATGTACTTCCCCTTCCCCCCCCCTCCATGCACAATGAAAGAGAAATAGGTCACCATAAACTGCAAAAAGTGAGCCAAGATAAGTTCTTTAATTTCTCGTGTATTTCTCACCAAATTTTATATTTAGGCATAATTTTAGTTGTAGAATTGAAATACGGAAAAAAAGGGTATGTCATTTTAGAAAAAAGAACGAATTTGTGTCAAAATACCTATGTTAGAAAAATGCTATATATACATCTAATATATATATATCCTAAGTTTTATTATCAAGACATGAAAAATGCAAATTAAATTTCATCAATGAGCCCAGTAGAACAGGAAAAACTGTCTTTTTTGGGGCACAGTACTTTATTGCACAATGAAAAATATAAATTTCTTAATAATTAATTATAACAGTTATATGATAATAAATTATATTTTATTTAATTAATTATATTGTAACAAATATCTATTACATTTCTTTTGGATTTTTGTGCTAAAATTTTTTATTATTCACATTGAAAAAATATTATTTTAGAAAAAAGAACGAAAAAAAAAAAGGATCACAATATTGGCAAATGTCACATTTAAATCAGCTATGATTTGAGGAGATCCGGATCAAAATCCATGGCCACCAGCGGCCGAGCAGTAAAGTCGCTAAACACTGGTAGTTTGGTCTTAGGTTCTAATCCCACGAATGGGCTGGCTGCATGGGCGTTTTCGTGGTTTTCCCCATGTGTAACGTGTATTGCTAGCCAGTTTCTCTTAGAAAGTCCTCCACAAAGGCATCCCTCCTCTTAGGCAGATAGCCCTAGTGTGCTTTGCCATAATTAAATAAGCCAAACCAAACCAAACCTGAAATCCGCATTGGCTCTCAAAATGTAAACATTTAGTTTATAGTTCCCGGAAACCACAACATGGAGTACAAAATATCGAAGAAAAAATACTTACTGGATAATAACGTCATAATTACCGAATAATAATGAGTCATAACGGAGATAACAAGTTATTGACATCATGATAAGAGTTTTTCCCTCTCCAATCTGCATCGAGGTAAAAAAGCAGATGATTGACTCAGCTATTCTTTCAAGTTCACACTTCACGTTGTTGTACTTTCTGAGCTTTGTTATTTCACAAGATTGTTTACTGATGGTCTTTTTTTTTTTTTTTTTTTTTTCCGGATATTTTGTGGATAAATTAAGAATATTTTGAATTTCAGCTCTTTTTAATACAATGACAGAAAAGAAGTGCACTCGTGATTTTACTGCTTGCAACATTGAAAAAACATAAACACTTTGCATTGACGGTAATGAAAAAAGTGGAAATTCTGCTAAAGATGAAGGTAGGTGCTACTGCTCGGTTTATAGCAGAATCGTATGGAATTGCCATACGGACTGTGTATGATATACAGAACAATAAAGAAAAGCTGTTGAAATTTTACAGCAACAGTGATTCTAACACTGGAATCCGAAACCGGAAATCTTTACATGAGGTAAAATTGGCAAACCTCGATGCTGTTTTGTAAGAGTTGTTCCGGGAGCAGCGGAAGATGGGGTATCTAACAGATCATTCAATAAGTCCCGGGACTAACTAAGAAAACAACATCGATTTAAAAAAATTCATATTTATTCATCAAAATAATCACCATCAAGATCTATGCAATCATTCCAACGCTTTTCTAACTTTTCATTAACGTGCTTGTTAAACGTTTGTCCTTGTCCACAAAATAAGCTTCAGCATCAGCAATGACTTCCTTATTCGAGCCCAATCTTTTCTCCTGAAGCATCTTTTTGAGATCAGCAAACAGCCAGTAGTCACTGGAGACTGGATCTGGGGAGTATGGTGGGTGGGGAAGCAGAGTGAAGCCTGACTCGTTCAGTGTAACCAGTGTTTGCATTGACTTATGGCACGGGGCATTGTCTTGACTGAAAATGAAATTTTTTTTCATGTGCGGTCTTTCTTTTTTTCTTTCCCCCCGATATTGTCCTTCAGATAACTCACTGTAATAGGTGCTATCGATAGATTTTTCCTTTTCAAGGTAGTCGATTTAAATTATACCTCGCGCATCCCAAAACATTGATGCCATGACTTTGCCAGCTGACTGCTGTGTTATTTGATGCTTCGTATGGCTTGCACTGGCTGCACGTGACTCAGCTGACTGCTTCTTCGACTCCAGAGTGAAAGAGTGGATCCATGTTTCGTCCATTGTAACATATCGCCACAAGAAATCCTGTTTATTGCTAGTAAACAGTGACAAACAGCTCTATGAATCGTCGACTCATTGTTGCTTTTGTTCCATTGTGAGCACATGTGGCACCCATTTGGAAAACATTTTTTCATGCCTAACTTTTCATGTAAAATCATACACACGCTTCCAGTTGATATGTTTACCATCTCGGCAATCTCATGAACTTTGCGCTCATTCATCATGTTTTTCAACGCTTGTTTCACATTTTCCGGAGTGACTGCTTCATTTGGCCTACCCAAGCGTGCCGCATCATTTGTATCCATGCGGCCGTGCTTGAAATCAACATACCAACAGCAAATGGTTGTTCGTTGGAGCAGTGTCTGGATAACATTTTTCAAGCCATTGCTGAGCTTGCACAGTATTTTTGCTCATTAAATAGCAATGTTTAATGAACACTTGAAATTCGTTTTTCTCCATTTTGTCCACCAAATGCACAAGTAGTGTCACTTTCACCACAGTAGCTTTGCTGTTTCCGGTCCAAATGCCATGAAAATCAGACATGTGACATTTGAAGGTTAGTTCTTTCAAACAACGAAGTCAAGTTGATATTACTAACAACATCTTTCGATTAGTCCTGGGACGATGTGTTATTTCAGGACTACTCCTGAGAGAAAAGGGGAAGCAGATTCATGCTGATTTAAAAATAGAGGAGCCTAATGTAAATGAACAATATAATATAATCAATTTATATATGTAATAATATTTAATGCATATAATTAATTAGTGTATTAAAGTATATACTAATTTAATTAAATGTATGTAATATGCCTTATTTATTTTGCACTTTTAGTCTTAATATTATCTTTTCTGTCCTGAAATCTGCAAAATCCTAAAATCCGCACAACCTCTGGTTCCAAGCGTTGCAGATTTCTGGACTTCTACTGTAACTGCATTTGCCATGGTCGAACTATAACTACTGTAATGAAAGTATAAAAGTGATAATTTTAAGATAATGACTATACATGACATTTTTATCTTTCATATAATTAAATATATATATTTTTTTAATTCTGGTATTTCTGATAACATAACCCATTTTAACATCTCCACAACTTGGGTGCTTTAGGTTTTTTGCTGAAACTAAAATAAATATTAAAGCAGATATTTAATCTTTCTGGATATGAATGCAAAAATACTATCCTTCCTCTCCAATTATTTTCCTTGCAAATAATGTCATTTTGTGAAACTATTAATATTTTCCCCCTTAAACAGGCTGCAGAAGCATTGTGCAACACAGGTTTCATGGCTGAAGTTACATTAATTTTGGCTGAAACAGATTTACAGCTGCACATTTCAGAGAAAAAGAAATCCTTAGTAAATATTACTCTTGTTATATTTATTTATCCAAACTTCTACTTATAATGAGAGTCAGTACAAGATTTTTTTTTACTTCCCTAACAGGTACCCCAGAAACCCAAACTAACAAAGGTGGACGTGTACTTTGCTTTTTTGAGGTTTATTACAACACTGCTTCATACTCTAGGCAATTATTTTTTGCCAGACTGCTGGAATTTTATAGGTGTTCATCAGGAAATCATGCATGTGGTGAGCTGTTTGATATGCATAATGTTGGGAATTAATGTAACTATCAGTATAGTAATTGTTGTATTTAATTGCTCCATACCGAGCCTAAATACTGAATCTAAATTTCTAATATTAACATCAGATGCCCTATTTGGCATCAGTATATCCAAGTGTTTTTCCAGTCTTTTGAAATTTTAGACAATAATTTTTAATTCTTTTCAAATATCTAAAAACATGCTTTGCAACCAACCAGTGTAATTTTTCAGGATTGTTATGAAATTGGCTCATTTTCACTTTCAGAAGGACACATTTCTTTACTTAGTTTTACTCTAGGATATAAAGGAGTTGCTACTTGTTCTACATCTTACATATTAAACCTCTGTGAAATGTGATTGACATATTTTCATTGAAATAAACTAAATAGAATTTTTATTTACATCTTGATTAAATTCTATTCCAAGACGATAGTGAAGTTTGCTTAAATCTTTAAAATGAAATTTTTCAGAAAGCTAATTCTGAAGTGCAGCATATAAATCAATTATTTGTTGCTATTATTAAGTCACTTACATATAAAATCAGGATTAACTCGCCTTAAGATATTTTCATCTTGTAAACACACCTATTTGATTCTAATCTAAAATTTTTTACCTTTTTGTCTAATTTTTCATACCATTGTCAATGGAAAGCAGCTGTGCAGAAAATAAAAGTATTAAAAAAAAAAAAAAGCTAATGCAGAAGAGAAAGCAAAATTAGTTTGTTTTCTTTTTACAGTTAGTTAATATTATTATTAATTATTGAATAATAGTTTGTAGCCATCTTAAAAGAAGGTTCACTACATATTTGTTTTCCCTTCATATTTTGTATCTTTTTAGTAGTTGAAAAAAAAAATAAAAAAAAAAAAAATAAATAAAATAAAAAATTATTGAATTATGTAAACAGCAAATTAATTTTTAAAGAAAGAAACTAATTGAGAACTATTTTTTAAATTCACATAATTAATATATGTAGAATTTGACTTAATTCACAGCATGAGAGCACGAAGTAATATTTAAATGGTTTATTTAATAGAAAGAAGTAAAAGTAAATAAGAAAAAGTATATAAAGATGAAGTTAACGGTATGCAGGATTAACATAATGATGTAGTCCTTTTACATCTAAAGGCATAACATCAAAAGCACAATCTAAGTTCATAAACTCTTGAAGACGTGTGAACCGTCTGCTCACGTCTGCCCTCCGCTCTCGACCAGGTCTCAGTGCTGTCTGGGATGATTCTTACTGCGCTGGGTGATGCTATACTGATGACGTCATCTTGTATTCTAATTCAGCATTGGACGTTATGATTTCCCACGTATATATAAAGGATATCATTTTTGAAACCTTTTGTAATGTACAAATACAAATAAGTGCTGCGCTTCCTAAATAAAAATGTTATGGTTGTAATTGTTTAATAATAAACAAAATGAAAACTAAAATAATTTCAAATCTAAATTCTCAGAATATAAATTTTTGATTTATACAGTCAAAAGTTGTTAATCCGGACTCGTCGGGACTTCGGCGATTCCGGATTATCGATTTTTCCGGATTATAGATCATCAGTTTAAATCTGGTAAGATGGCATGCAAAAATTACAAAATTAAAAATATGAAACTGTAATTTATGAAATAAAGAACAATTATGATCTAAAGGGTATCAAAATTTACAAAAAGAAAAAGCTTAATATTTATTTGTTTACTTTATTAAACATTTCCTTCAATGTAAGTTGCTTCGTTTCATGTGATAATACTTTCTCTTTAATTCTATTAAACAGACATAATTTCTTGTTTAGTTACAAAGTTCCGCTGTTCAAGTCCTATAATTGCTTTGACGCTGTAAGGTTGTTGTGTTGAGAATACCGACTAATTTGTCAATCGAAATGTTTTCGTTTTCAATAACCTCTGGGTCACTTTCTTCACTATCTGAAGCGAATTATAATGACAAGGAACTTGATTTAAATCATATCAAAGACTTGATTTAAATCATATCAAAGACGAGATGAAATACTAAACTTAGTACAGAATTATAATCCAAATAAAATAAAAACATCTGCTCTGAAGATAAGGATAGTGTTGACAGATCAACTTCCAATCCGCAGCTTGAAATTGATAAACAGATTTCGGATTTCAAAACATACTTTCGCTTTGTAGATACAAATTACATATTAGTAAATATATATTGGAAATTCTATTTGACATAATCTTTCTAATCTATCATAATCTAATAATGACGGTTTCTGCCCCCCCCCCTCTGCGGCAGAGCAGCGTGAAATTGATAAACAGATTTCGGATTTCAAAACATACTTTCGCTTTGTAGTAATATAAATATATATCGGAAATTCTATTTGACATAATCGAAAGTTCAAGCTTACTTTTATAAAATTGCTCTAACAGTCTGCAAAAAATAATAAGCCGGCTCCAATTCGAAGATTAAGGAACACGCAATCTGCAACATTAACTGAATTAGATAACTTTAGCTTAGCGTATAACTCCGTTACACATTAAACGCGCATGCGCACAAACATATTCGCAGCCGTAAGGGTCTTACGCGCTCTCGTAAACGCCTGTGCGGACGCATGCGCAGAAAGTTTGTAGCTTTGAGGTCCGGATTATAGATCATTCCGATTATGGGTGTCCAAATTAACGACTTTTGATTGTATTAATAAATGTACCTATTAAAATTAGTCTAGTTTTCTCTTTGTTGCTCCAGATATTCACTCTTTATTCTTAAGTATTGAGTCTTAATGAAGATGAAATTTTCATTTCCATCTTTTGTTTATTCACGATGGCAAATATATGCATGCTAAACTGCTGTTTTCTCAAATATATTTTTAACTCATTTAATGAAGAGAATTTTGTAATAATTGTTATTATGTGCAAGTACTTTAATCTTACTTTCCCTTAAAGAGTTTAATGGAAATGAGGATGACGCTTTTAAAGGAAGGAATTCAAAATGCTATACTGACATCTGCTTTTATTCTACAACTTTCTTTTCATCAAAAAATCTGGAGGCTTGAACATCCAAGATCACTTCAATTACTTCTGGTATGATCACATTTCTTTCAATATATATTAAGTAAATCTTTTTATTATATTTTTATTTTATTCTGATAATACTAAAAATTTTTTTATTCTTATTTGAAACTTTTAATAATTTATCATATTCTAGCGTGCGCACCTCCAACTTGCACGCAACCAAGAGTGACTGTTGAAACTGGATAAAGACAGAGTCTTGTTAAGGGTTTAAGTCCCTTTTTATTCAACGTAATAAATTACAATTGCGTGCTCTTGACGCTCACAAACTATGCCAACTTGGCGGTAAAATAAAAATAATAACCTGAAAAGAAACTAAAGACAAGACTCTAACTACGAGGCTCTCTAAAAGTAACTAACCTCACCGCGTTTTACAATACCGCTGCTAATTCAGCAGACTTGAAGCTCACTTGAACGATTAACAATTCTTCCAGGCCGAAACGCGGGGTTCTTCAATTTCTGGCTAACTACCTCCGCGCTCGTGAAGTAAGAACAGCACACCTTGAACTCGTTTCCTTTCTATTTAACTCAGAATACTTCCGCTGATAATTTGAATCCTTGCGCGTTCTACTAAAATTTACATACTCTGGCATTGGCAGTTCCAGGGGAAAGTAAGGCTTGATAGGAAAGGTAGTTTAAACTTAAAATAAATGTTAGTTAAAATAAATATAAACCCTACATTTGCCGCTGCCAGAATTTGGAAAACTTGGAAGCAGGTCCTACAAACGACCTGTTGTAAGTTTCTCTAATTCTGAACTAACTGTCGAGAACCTCGTTTACACAAAAAAAATCTTATGTAACAAATTGTATACTAAAATTCTGTGTATACTTATAACTTTCTCTTCTTACAGCAACTTTTCCTGGACTTCATCAATCAATCTTGGTCTTTTCCTTCCAGCATTTGGAAGGAATAAGTATCAGTATCTTTCTAAATACATTATAATTTACACTTTCTTGACACAATAAATTTTTGTTTTTAACGATTCGTTTTTCTTAGTTATTGCTTACTTCACATTCATTCAATTTTTCAAGCATTAATTTAACTTTACCCTGGCTCTCCACCATGTGTGGTGTCAAACGGGAATATTCGTGTTTTAGTCTTACAACACTTCCCCTAACCACCATGATTTGTTAGAGTTCAACGACCAAATAGACACACCTTACTCGACATTCTACAACTCAATGAGCTACTTTAACATTCTTAAAAATTCAAGTGTAGGTGGAGAACCCTACAAAACACATTCATTCTAACTTCCCCCTCATTCATCTTTAAACATGCAGGCTTTCGCTCTAAAGCATGACTTTATCTACAATTTAATACTTAAATTTTGACTTCATTGCTTTTAAGCATTCACTTTTAGCATCTACAATTTTATGCTTCTAGACTAAATTCTACTTTTACATAACATTCAAGTATTTACGTACATTTACAAAATTTTTATATATATGATGATATTCATAAAATGAATAAGAGAAAATAAATTTTTACTTTACTCATTCTTCGCCAAGCTGGCGGCACTGAAACTAAAATTCTTATTAATACAAGAATACGAAGTTATTTTTATCTTCGGCCAAATTTTGGCTTTAACATAACAGAATTAGTCTTTCGACCAACAGAAAATGCTTGTTCTTAGCTTTTATACTTAAAGAAAATAATACTTTTGCCTTAGCTAAATAAAGTAAAACAAAACTAAGTCTCAACCGAGACATATTGACTTTCGTCAAAACATAGAACTTCGTACTTATGCATAACATTTCGGAACAAAAGAGAAAAAAAATTTTATAGAAGATTTTAACTTATCTTTGAGTTTTCGATGCTTGAAACTCCGTCATTCTTTTTGGCAAATTGTTCCCAAGTTAGAGGTTTCATGGATGTCAATCTTCTCCTTACTGACCTCCGAGTGTCGTCCACATTAGTTTTTTCTTTTGCGTCCTCTACATGCTGGCCTCTTGGCGGAGTAATCGTCTGGTTTTTGTTGTCGTTTCCGTTTTTCCATGGGACGGCTGGTCTTGACGTCCTCCGGTCTGGAGTCCTTCTTGAATTTCTTCTGTTCCTGGTATTTTTTTGTTCCTCCTGTTGCCGTTTCAGTTTCCGGAACGGCGGCCTTGCTGGCACCTGACTCTCTGGCCCTGTGCGCGTTCTCCTTGATGTATAATTTCTCCTGCGATCCGTTTGTAGGTGGTGTTTTTCTCTTTACCACGGTTTCTTTACCGGTGCATCTTCTGTATTCTTGTTTTTCTTAAATGCTGGAGTTTGAAAGTTTTTCTTTTTTCTTTTTTTTTTCTTTTTGGTACCGACGTCCGGGTTTGTAGAAGGGCTAGGTCTCTCTTCAGTTCTCTGCTTCTTGGGTGGTGGAATAGTTGTTGTTATCTCTGGACCTTCTACTTCGTTTAGACTTGAGTCCTGCAAGAAACTTTTAAGGATTTCAAAATCATTTTGGATTATAGTATTTTTTCACCTGGTCGGGACTTGCTTTACAGATTTCCCCTCTCTCGTTCTTAAGATATAATACGACTCCTTTGATTTCCTGAATTACATAGGGGCCTTCAAACTTTTGGAGCTAGCTTTGCCGTAAAATTGTCTGGGGCACTTGATAAAGAAAATTTCCGCTTCAATACTTTATCCCCAACTTTAAAATCTGCTTCACGGCGTTTTCTATCGTATATAATTTTTTTTGCTTATTTCTTGCCGTATCCGAGCTTTTAAGCGCCTGATCAATCAGTTTTTGCACATCTTTCTGTTTAAAAACTCTTGCTCTCTTTGTTGCACAAAGAATAATTTATCTAAAGGCGTAATTAACTTTCTGCCTAAAAATAATTCTGCTGGAGTTTTTTTCCCGTAGTATCATGATTTGCCGTTCTTAAAGCATAAGCTAATTCATTTATGTAGCCATCCCAGCGCTTGTGATGTGTGCTCACGTAACTGCGAATTATTTTTACTAATGTTTTTATTAACTCTTTCTGCTATGTTTGCCTGTGGTCTATACGGAACCATTTTGATATGGCGTATGCCAAGTCCATTGCATATGTTTTCAAATATTTGACTAATGAATTGTTTTCCGTTATCGCTAATGACTTTTATCGGTGCACCGTATTTTAAAATGTATCTGTGTAAGAATGCATCTGCGACTGTTTTGGCTGACGCGCGTTTAAGTGGAACAATTTCTGTCCATTTTGAAAAATGATCTACTATTACTAAAAGAAAACGATTTTTATTTAACTCGCTCTGGGGGAAGGGACCAAGAAGATCTATGCCTAAAATTTCATTCGGAAATGTAGCGCGAATGCTATTTAAGTACCCGGCCGGGCTGTAATTAATATCATTTATTAACTGACATTGATTGCAGGACCTGACATACGCCGTTACTATTTTGTATAATTGCGGGAAATATACCACCGCCTCGCGTACCCTTTTTAAAGTCTTTCTGACCCCTAAATGACCCGCTGTTTTTTTCGCGTCGTGTAATTCCTTCAAAATGCTTAATCGAAGCGAGGCTGGGATGACTGGTTTATACTCAAGATTTTCGTTTGTTGTTTTCGTATAAAATAATAAATTATCTATTATTTCATAGTTTTTTTTTTCTGCTCTATTTCTTATCGCATCGATATCTGTGTGCTCAAAGCTTTCGGGGTCTTTCAAATAAGCATAGATATTTCCAAATTCAGGATCAGCTTTCAGTTCAGTAATAATCGTATCTCTAGAATCTAAAATTTTTGAAGTCAACACAGCGCATTTAAGTTCATTTCCTTCATCGTCCAGTTTTATATACGAGAAAGTGCGTCAGCTACATTGTTTTCCTTACCCGGTTTATATTTTATTATTGTGATATTATATTCTTGGAGTTTTAAAGCCCATCTTATTAACCTGGGCGTTAGGTTTTTCCCCCGAGTAAAGTCTACCAACAGCCGCATGATCCGAAAAGACTGTTACTGGCGCTTTGCCGAAATAAACTCGAAATTTGTGTACAGCCATTAATACGGCTAATGTTTCTCTTTCTGTAGCTGTATAATTCCTTTGTGTCTGATTCAATGTTTTACTAAAAAATGCCAGAGGATGGCTATTTTGCATAAGAACCGCACCCACCGCATAGTCTGACGCATCTGCTGCAATTTCCAGGTTTTCGTCCCCCTCCGGGAATTTTAAAACAGGGGCATTGATGAGCGCTTCTTTTAATCTTTCAAAAGCTGTATTTGCTTCCGCTGTCCACGTAAATTTACTCTTTTTTCTTTTGATTACTAAGAGTGGTTCAACAATATTAGCGAAATCTTTTATGAAAGACCGATAGTAAGAACATAACCCAAGGAAAGAAGAAAGTTTCATGGCGGTGTTGGGCGGTGGGAAATTCTTGATGGCTTTTATTTTTGAATCTTGCGTTTCTATACCCTTTTGCGAAATTTTATAACCGAGATATTTAAGTTCTTTAGTTGCGAACTTGCATTTTGAGGCGTTAATTGTAAGACCGGCCTCTTTTAATAATTTAAAAACTTGTTCTAGATCATTAATGTGTTGTTCCAACGTACTACTCGTTATAATTATATCATCTAGATAAATTAAAGTTGATTTTCCTAGGACAGGCTTTAGAACAATGTCCATAGCTCTCTGGAATGTTGATGGGGCCCCACACAACCCAAAGGGCATGCGTAAAAATGCATAAGTGCCCGATTTTGTTATAAACGCGGTTTTATGTATATCTTCGGGTCTCATAGCTATTTGATAGTAGCCAGACGTTAAGTCCAAAGTAGACATGTATCTTGTCGATTTGATCTGTCTAATGATTTCCTCTATAACCGGCAAAGGGTAAACTGGAAATTTAGTAATACTATTTAGTTTTCTGTAATCGATAGCAAACCTCCAAGCCCTTTTATCCGAAGGAGGAAACTCGTTCTTTTTCCTACATAGTACGACTGGACTCGCGTACTCACTATTTATGGGCGTTATTATTTTATTCTTTAACATCTCCTGAATATGTTCTTCGATGATTACGTCTTTTTGTTTGTCATACCGATAAGGT